TATCACCAAGAAGCCTTATGATTGGACATAAAATTAGCATCATATATAAGAATTTTTATTGAGCATAACTTTTTTGGTTAAGGAATTACCCAATTAGCCATACCAGGACTGTACCAAAGAATATCAGGACTGCTGTCTGTCATTGGCAAAATGCAATGTAATATTGCCTTAAATCTAATGTTGGCCTTGAGTTCTTAATGAAGTCAAAAAATATATAACTTGTACTTCTAGAAGTCACTTTATATCATAATTTCACCCAGCAGGTTACATTAAAAATAAGACATGTTGATGATGATGTGGGAAAATCAGAATCCTTTATTATTGCTAATGCTATGTAAAATGGTATAGCTACGTTGTAGCTAACTGATCTTCAAAATGTCAAATATAGTTATCATTTGACCCAGCAGTTCTATTCCTAGATATTTACAAAAAAAAACTTAATATCACAAATTTGTATACAGTGTTCATAATAGCATTATTTTATATTTGTCAAAAAATAGAAACACCCAATATGCATCAACTGATGAAAGAACAAAAAGTAATGTGATTATCTATATGTTGGAATGTTATTTCAAAATGAAAATGAAGTATAAATGAATACAAAATGAATATACCTTATAAATATTATAGTAGGGGACCTCCCTGGTGGCCTAGGAGTTAATAAGTCTCAGTGCTATCACCATTGGGGCCTGAGTTCGATCACTGGCAGGGGAGCTAACCAACATATGGCACAGAAGGCCTCTCCTGCCTCGCCCACTGTGGAAGCAGATAATATATATTTGTAGATCAGCACATTTTCTTTAGTATGAAACCAAAAACTTGTATTAATGAATTAAGATTTCATCATATATAATAATATATGTTGCTTTTGTAATTTGAAAAAAAATGCTACAAAAGGAAAATTTTAATGACTTCTTTTTATTAGTTCAATGGGAAAAATTCTAGGTTTATTGTACATGACAAGTCCTCCTTTGAATCACAGGTTGTATCTTGTCTTGTAAGATTTTCACTATTGCTTCAAATAAACACATAGTGTGATTGGAATGCAATTGCTTTTTCAACTGCATGGCATCTCTTTTGTAAAAGTACTACTGTAAACATTATTTATAGATAATATGTATATAGCTGACTTTCATTTAAAAGATAAATTGATATATCTTAAAAATGAAATATGAGGGCCTCCCCGGTGGCGCAGCGGTTGAGCGCTGGGTTGCGAAGCTGCCCGCGGCCTCTGCGGCGCCAGTTCGATCCCCGGCTGCTCCCCGGCCACCTGAGGAGGGTCCCACATGGCGCGCAGACCTCTCCTGCCGCCCGCTGCTCCCCTCAGCAGTGTACTTCGGTCCTTCTGCCTGCTCTGCTCCCTGCTCTGGCTCTGGTGAATTCTCTCACCCTCCCGCGCTTCTGACTGTACCCAGTGCATGTATAAACAAAACAAACAAACAAACAAATAAATAAATAAATAAATAACATGCCTCTAAAAAAAAAGAAAAAAAAAAGAAATATAAAAAAAAATGAAATATGAATGGCCTATTAAAATTAGTGATTTTACAAATTGAATATTGCTAAGTGGATAAATGAAATTATCTGGTAAGTCATATTCCTCATTCTTTCTGACCCTTTCCAAACTGGAATTGATTATGTTAAGTGTGATAAACTGTTCTTCCAGTAGTTGCCTCACTCATCTGGCCTGGTTTCCCCATAACCAGTGTCTTTGTTTTATACCCAAGTGACTTTGAATGGTCTGTACTTACAGAATACTACAAGGTGACTGTGTGCCCAACCATGTATGCACATTCCACGTCATAGTCACCTTCACCTTGAAATCCGATTAATTCTTTCAACTTTTATACAGGGAACTCAGGGAAATAAGCAAATTTTTAAGGTAGCTAATGGGTAAAAGGGGAAACACCAAAAGCTTTGAGAAAGCCATTGTGACAGCCAAAAACAACAGCAGGTGTGGCCATATGGCAATTGAATTAGAAAAGGAATTCTTACCTCACTATTTTCCAGAAGATAGTCAAGTACAGGCAGTCCTTCCTCATGGAAGAATGACTTACTTAATCATTTGAACTGTTTCATATGCCCTCTTTCACTGTTCAGCTCTGAAGGAAACTAAAATCCATTGTACCAAATGTTACTGAATAACTTTCTTAAAGAATAAAAGATAATAACTTCAAAAGTAATTGCACTTCAGTGTTTAGAGTCCACTGTGTTTATTTTTAAAGAAAGCATTGCTGAGACTATTTTCAAAGGAATGGATCTTTGTAAAGCTTAAATGTAATGACTTATTTTAGCAACACATTAAGTAAGATTACTTGAAATTTTTAAATGCCCTATTTAGCTCAAGACACTCAATAATAATGTAATTAAAATTATTTGTATAAATCCCTAAGTTGTAGACTAACAGTTTTCAGTACTTCAAGCACTTTCTTATAAAAAAAGATTCACTTAAAAATGTGTTTTAGTAGTTAGATTAGCTCTGAAAAGCTTGTTTGACCTACAAATGGACAGGAGTTGCACTGTTAACAGTTAGACTTAAATGTATTTTTATTATTATATCATGTTGGGGTAATCTCAGCAACATTTCTTGACTCCTTGTGCCTATTTGTATTTGTGTACATATGTTGCCTAATCTAAGGAAACACCAATACTTTGTCCTTTATTTATTTTTGTATCTTGATGGAAAATATGTTCTTTGTTGAGAACACAGAAAGATTTATAAAAATTTCTCCTGCTCTGGTCTTCTCCTCTCCCGCAACACGCACCTTTATTAGGGTGACAAACTAGTCTGTGTTTAGAATGAAGACAATGTTCATATTTTAACCATGAGTTCTCTAGTCTATTTCTGCTTATTAGCAGTATCCTTTTCTTTCTATAACCTAATATTTTGAACAGCAGCACAGCAAAAAAATAACTAATTATTCCAACTAATAGCTAATAGTTTAAATACCGATTACTTCCCTAATATTACTTTTTGTCCTAAATAGAGAATTATGTTTATTTGAAAAAAGGAAAAATATCTATGTAAAATACAAATTTATATTCATTTTATTATTGGATTGCACATATTATGCTTTTTTAAAATGTCTTTAAAGATTTATTTATTTATGCATACAAGAGCTGGGGTACAGGCCAGAGATGCGGGGGGTGAGAGGATTCACCAGAGACAGAGTGGGGGAACAGAACAGGCAGACTGACTGAAATACACTGCTGAGGGGAGCAGTGGGCGGGCCAGGAGAGGTCTGCTTTGACATGTGGGTCTCTCTCTGGCCAGCTGGGGATCAAACTCGTGCTGCAGAGGCTGTGGATTGCTTCATAGTGTGGTACTTAACCCCTTGCACCACCAGCAAGGCCATATTATGCTATTTTGAAATTAACTTATATATGTTTTACTTAAGAGGCCAGATTTTGTTTACTGATTTTTTTTTTTAGGGATTTAGGTTATCCTTTTAAAAAAATCAGGCTTTTAACTTTTAAAAGACTAAAGTTACAGAAAAGTGAAAAAATAACCATAAAGATCACTGTCTCTATCACTCAGATGTTGAAACTGTTAGTATTTGGCACACTGCATTCAGTATTACTTAGTCACATGAGTGACTAAACCTACTTTGGTCCATTTCTCGTTTACTTTCATATTAGAGGCAATCATTGACATGGGTTTAGGGACCTTTTTCCTTTCAATTAAAAAAATTACATATATATGAATGATCATAAATATATAGTATTATTTTAATGTGTGATTGCTGTATGCATAGTGATTGATATTCATCAATCACACACGTTTAACTATATTACATATTATATAATATATTAAATATAAATATATATCTGCTACATGCAAAATAGTACTCTGCATTTTATGCATATCAGTTAAAATTTAGTCTTCACCTTGCTCTTTCACTGACTGTTTTGTGATCTATTCTATTGATATATATATATAGACCTACTTCCTCCCTTTAAATTGTTTTATCACATTTTATCATATGTATAGAAAACATTTTATCCATTTCTATATCAACGGATATTTATATATTCACTTTTTAATAACTCCTGGCATTTCCTTATTGCTTAGGTTTTAGTAGCATTTTCATTTTCACAGAAATAATTACATACTTGGGATTTTCAGGTTTAGGGCAGTTAGCAAAACCATTTTTGATTTTTTTTTCCATTGCAGATATTTTCTTTTCTAATTATGCTTCAAATATAACAAAATGACAAATAATTCAAGATATGATTTTTAACATCAAATGTAATTTGCTCAAAATTTACATTAATCTTTCGCATAACTAGTCACTTCCATTTTGTCTTCCTGTCATCCTGAAGAATGAAAATGTAATTTCCCAGAGGCTTTCAGAATTGGGGGAGTATTAAATGTAGCTGAAATTAAGTGATTAATAATTTACTTTTGGGTCATGAATCAACTTCATGGGATGCTAAGGATCATTTGCAACCCCAGAATCACTAGCAGTAACAATGCACTTTTTAAAACTCAAGAACTCTCTAAGGTTGGCTGCCCAACCTAATTAAACTTCAATCTTCTGATACCAAATTTATTTCTTCTTTGTACTGAATTTCCTCAGATCTTCTTGACAGGAAAATGTCACTTTGCCTGACAGCTGATAGACAGGTTATGTAGCACCATAATTGGAGAGAAAAGGATAGCTTAAAGCTACTGGATTTAATGGCTATGTGTATGGCTTTTTCTTTCTTTCTTTTCCTTTTTTTTTTTAAGGTATCTATGACAGACACAAAAGGCCTTAGCAAATAGGCCTAGTGCCATTTTTTCCCTGCTTCCTCCAGGGGTAATTATCTTACTCCATCAATAGTGCTGTCAGAAATTGGGCACATAATTCAGCATTTAAATGAACAAGCAATGTAATATTTCCTGTCTCCCAGTGGAATGCTTTGCAGTTCACATTCTTCTCTGTCACTCGCTCACTCTTGATGTATGTCCCATACCCAGTCCTTGAATGCCTTCTCTCCCTTGTGTTTCATTGCAGATGTTGGCTTCGACTTGACACCTACTTCATTTGGAGTTTTATAGGACCAGCGACCTTGATAATTATGGTAAGAACTCCTAATTAACTATGTGTTTCCCAGGTCAAGAAATAAAGCTTTCACCATCCCTATCCTGACTCTCTTTAATTTACATAGATTAATTTTGGGAAAGTATATACTTGTTTGACCCTACATAACTCAGGCAATTAGCCAGTCATTATAGTCTACTTTTATATTGTAAAATACTTGATCAAAACTGTTGGGAGGAGAAAACATGTCTTTGCCAGAGTTTATGCAGTGTATGTCTCCTCAGCAGCCTGATCCAACATAATCCATTTAGTTTTTTGGTTTTGAACAGTGAAGGCTTTTAAGTTTGACAGTAGTACATTTCCTTTTCCATTCAGATAATTTAAATTATTAATGGAATCAATAATTGGAAAATCGGCAAAATACCTTACTACCCTTCAGTTACTTTTTATATCAATCTTGAAAACTATAAAATTTAAAAAAAAATTCACTTGAGAATGGCACAAATAAGGATTCTGGAATTGTACTTCTTGATTCATTTTTTGTTGCATAATATCTTGATTTCAAATATGAACTAGTTGTCCTCATTTAGATATAGTTGTTGAAATCATTTACATATTTATCATTTTAAAACACAGAATTTCTGTTATTTTAAGTAAAATGGCACCTTGATTTTGAATAAAATATAGGTCTATAATTCATTTGCTGTGTAGGTCAAGTATACTTTATAATTCAGAAATTTTAGAAAGGCAATTTTCACATGTATTGCATGTTAATAATATCCTTAGTGGGAAATAAGCAGTTACCCTAAATCAAGCATATCAGTCAATATTCACAATGGGGACTAGGCAGGACTCTGAAACCAGTCATTATTAATTCATCAAAAATAGGAAAAGCCCGTAGCAAATAGGATAAAGACATGAATAATCTTATCTCTATTTGAATCAAGTTTTTAGGTCAAATAGGTTCAGTTGTGATTATCCTCTTTGGCAACCAAAAGAATTTCTTTTAACTTTCAGCTTTGTAGACATTTTGAATTTGATAAAGGATATCCCTGTATTAGAGTGAGAACTTCAGTGGGGCTGAATTTCATAGTCTCACCAATCCCAAATTCTGAAATATATAAACAAGTCAGGTGATAGAGGACAATTAAGTATGTAGTTCTCTATACAGTTTATATATGTGTGATATATATGAAATTTACTGTTGTTTTATTTTAAATCATACACTCTCTGGATCCATTAATATAATGATATCATTTGTAGTTCCTTCAACTTTCATCTTTGTTTAAACATTAGAATTCAACCAACATTTATAATCCTTTTGCTCCTACCTATTCAAAAATATGTTTATTTTAGTATTTGTGTTCTTGCAATATAACATATGAAAATGTATCTTCAAATGATGAATTGGGGCCATGTATTACAAGTAAAGATTGTAACCTACCTGGAGTAATTATTGTTTTATTTTAAATATTTGCTTGGTTTGAGTAGTTTGAAATTTCCACAGCATTATTCCAATGACTTCTGATTTTGTTTGTGATTGTATTTGGCATAATAGTGCTTTGTAACACATTGGTATCCCAAGTCCCCAAACTGGCTTCTTGTCTTTACTAAAATATCAAGAAATCACTTATGATTTAATTCCTTTAAAATGCATTTAGAGCTGATTTTCTACAACAACTGGTCTATTATAGAGAATGGACTTACTTGTTTTCAAACCCAGTTATGCTATATAACCGCACCTTTTACATTACAGCTTAATGTTATCTTCCTTGGGATTGCTTTATATAAAATGTTTCATCATACCGCCATTTTGAAACCTGAATCTGGCTGTCTTGACAACATCAAGTAAGTACCTTTTTTCTTTTCTTTTGACTGCTTTACTTTGGTACTCCAGGATATCCTAATTTTTAATATGGTAAATATCAGTGTGCTGTTTTTGCTGAGTAAGAATATTTTATTGACCAGTGAGGTGATTTAATCTGCCTGAAAATTAGTTTCTTCAAAGAAAACTTTTCCCCTAAACTCTGATTTACAACATCATATTTTTTAAGTATATGCATTTACATACTGGGCCCAGAAAGCAAATACAAATTTTCTGGTGTACAGGCACACTAGTATTACTTAGAGTAAGCACCACACCTATTGCTGATATTCCACCTCTCCAGAGCAATGGGGACAAAACCAAATGAGGTACCTATAATTATTCAAAGGGGGATTTTACACTCCAAGAGAGGAAGCCTAAAATTATTTTAATCTGGAGGTTTTTACAGAAGCTATAATAAAGCTGCCCTCCTCGTCTCCGGAGAGAGGAAGAGAAGCTTCAGCTTCCTAATACAAAATCCTATGATGTTTAAATCTGACTCCAGGCTTAACCCCTTTGAAATGTTAATATTTACCCCTTTGGAGGTAAATCAATCCAGACATCTCTCACTATCTAGTCAGTCATCTTTTAACTTCTAGAGTTATCTTTTAACCAAAATTCCACTTTTTTTTGTTGTTGTTCAGGAAACCCTAGCCATGCAGAGATAGGAAAATACCCACATTCCATTCTACACTAGTAGTGTTAGTGTACACTAGTATATATACTATAGTATATAGAGAGAGTTATAGATATATACATTCACACACACGCGCACCCACACACACAAGCTAATTTACATATTCTGAAAAGAAATTTATCTTGTAACTTTTAGAGGCTGTAACATTTAAGAAAAATAGTAAAGATATATTTTAGTTATATACATTGTATATTAAGTTGCATTTGCATATAACTAGACTATGCTGTGTGTTAACTGGCTAAATGTTATTTAAACAAATGTATTTTCAAAAGTTTCATGAGGTCACCTGTGACTTTCATGTACAATTGACATTCTTGTTTAACTGCTCTGATAGCCTCTGTCACCCATTTTCCATCACTCTACATTTAGAGTCTAATATAGCTCCTTGCCCATAGTAGGCATATTTACAGGATAAATTAGCACAGGAATATTTACAGGATAAATTAGCACATTAAAGGCTTCAATGACAAAAGCAGATTGACATTTTTTGGTTAATTTTGTTGAAGGTATTATCTATCTACATTAACTGAAAAGAATAGCTAAAGAATTAGAAATTATATAACAATATTGCAAACTAGGAATTATCTATACAAGCAGTGTCTTTTATAGCTTTTGATATTACCTGGTTGAGATAACAGTCATTACACTGTTGAATTATGTACACTTAGACTGCCTTTGTAAAGTGTAGTATTAGTTGCTTGGACTGTTCCTGGTAAAATTGGATTTGTATAAATTATATAGGCACATAAAATATATATTTTATATCACACTTTTATTCACTTTAGTATATTACATCCTTATTTCTATTCTGTAGATGAAACAAAATGCAAATAACATTTTGCTTATCATTTATGCTGTATTTTCAACAAAAATTAAATAATAATTTTATTCTTATGTAGTAACTTTTACCAGATTGAAAGGAAGACAGATCTTGTATTTAGTAGCGTCACATAAGATCAATGTGTTCTCTCATTATTCCTGTGTATTTATTTAGATATGTGGGTTGACATTTTTTTAGTGTTACTGTTTAGAAAAACAAACGTATGATAATTACATTAAATGGCATTGATAATGTCAAGCTTTATATTAGACAGCAAAGGAAAGCCTTAAATAAAAATATATTGATTTGATTTCTCTCTACACTGTTTTATAGTTTATAGTCTTTGGAAAATTTATTTAACCTTGCTGAGCCCTCCTGTCCTCTTTTAAATGGGTGTAATAATGATACATTCTCTATCTATCATCAAATGAACAGAGGAATATAAATAGCTGTTGACATGCATTTTTAAAAAGTCAAAAAGGCTTATTTCACTGAGGGGGTGAGGGAAAGCAAATACTGTTTAAAAATGGACAATGATGTAAAAAAAATTAAAAAAAAAAAAAGGCACAGAGAGATAATGGATAGAGTGCGTAGTTGTCAGAACAGGTATGGATGATGGTTTTAAGATAGAAGAAACATGAATATGGATAGACTAATGGAAAGAACCTGGTATAGAGAGCTTAGAATGAGAGGAAATAGAAAGATTGTAACCGGAGGAAAAATAGGGAATATGATCCAGAGCAATGTAAAACAATTTACTCTAGTAGACTTCATGAGAGTTACTTCCACCAAGAAGTCAAGAAAGAGGATGCTTTCCACTGAGAACGGGTGAAATAAATAAGAATATATGCACTATAGATGTTGTTAGGACCAACGTAAGACAGAAAATTGAGAGATTTCTTACTACTTTCTCATCTGTGAAGTGGGAAATCTGCAGAATATGCAGACATCTTTAAAAGAGTGAATAAGAAAGAAATCTCAAGATACTATTTCTTACAACTTTCTTCAATTTGAAGTATATTTTTAATGTATTTTTTAAAGATTTATTTATTTATGCATACAAGAACTGGGGTGTAGGTCATGGGGGGTGAGTGGATTATCCAGAGACTGAACAGGCAGATGAACTCAAATACACTGCTGAGGGGAGCAGCGGGTGAGTCAGGAGTGGTCTGCTGTGCCATGTGGGTAGCTCCCTGGCCTGGGATCTAACTCATGTTGTAGTGTCTGGTGATAATAGCACTGTTTCTTTGACCCTGTGCCACCAGGGAGGTGCCTGAAGGATTTTTTTTTAATTAAATATATTTACTATTTAAGAAGTACTTGTAAAGAAATCAATAGGACATCATTTAAGGATTTAAGGAAGTAATTATTTTGAACAGCGTTAAACAAAACTCAGGGTTATATTTTTGGTTTTAAGCAAAAATTAAAAAAAAAAACCTGTATAATGTGTGTTTTTAAATGAATAGGTGACATGCGAGGATTTTTTTTTTGGGGGGGTGACCCTTGCTGGCGGCCTCAAAGCCCAGCACTCAACCACTAAGCCACCACTGGAGGCCCTAGGTGACATGCAAGGATTTCTTATAAAGGCATAAGCATAATTTATGTCAAAGTACATGGAATGGGTCAAAAAAGATAGTTTTCTTTTTCCTTCATAAAGTGGAGAACAAAATATGTCATCTTGCTTAGTTTAGTGAGAAAAAAACCTCACCATATAAGGGCTATGGGAAGTCGGTGTTTTCTAAACTATTCATTTGCTCATATATCAAATATGTATTTCTTTCACACATACATAGCTCCTTTATATAAATTGTGTTTTCTTCTCCCATATTCATACCTTTTCCTTTAAAGCTACCATCATCTTCTGCAACACTAATGCAGTGGTCTACTGATTCCTTTCCCCATGCTTCAGTGATCCTTTGAAAAGTTCTAATTCAATCTTGCTACTCTCAGGTAAAACTCTCCAATGGCTTCCTGTTACTCCTATACCAAAGTCCAGACTTCCTGTTCAGGCACATGAAGCTTTCCTGACCTAGTTGCATCTTTTTTCAGCCTCTGACCATAGTAGATACGCTCTGTTTTGCCTCAGCTCTTATCTCTGCTATTTGTCTACCATAAAACTATGCTTAGCTGACTCCGGTTATCCTGATTAGCTTAATTATTATTTCTAAAATGATTTAATTATGTTTTAATTCCAAATTTACTTCATGGTCATCATAATAAACACATTTTGATGTTAGCATAGAACATTCATTTTGCTGGCTTATTACTGCATTAATGATATAGTCTGGAAAAATTGTAATAGAGTAAATTGCTACAGGTAACATGCTTATAGAGGAAATGAGTTATGCCAATTCTCAAATTTAACTAAAAAGTAATTTAAACAGTATTTTTCTGCTTCTTGTTTGCTTACTTGTTCTTGGTCTCTTTTTTGTCAAAATAATGAATCGTCAGAGAAGTCATGACATGTTTTTCTATGTTCTTAAAGCAAACATGAGTCATGAATTTTCTGACAACCCAGTAAATTAGGAGGTAGAAAGTAAGTCTAATTGTTGAATTTTCTGATTGAGCCTCTGACAAGTTAATATTGGAGCTTACATTAATAATAGCAAACATTTAACCTATTTTTAAAATATGTATGTAAATATGAACAATATCATGGCTGAATTGTTACCAGCACATATTAATTTATAATATTGCTGAAGTACTGACATGCAAAGCTTTTATCTTGAGGAGCATTTAGTGCACTCTTCACGTTTACATTCAAAATCAAAATTGATCATTTCCATAGTTATCAACCACCTCTATTGTTGGGAAATGCATAATAATATTACAAGTTCTTTGAAGAACAAAGTGGGATAGGATATCGATGTTTATGTGGAGGGAAGTGGGGATCTTTCTGTCTTTTTTCTAATCTTCCCTCTCCCCTTTCCCAAGGACAGACTTCTGCATTCAGGTTTCTGATTTTGGCCTGTCACGTTTTACAGTTTCTCGTCACTTCCTTTATCTTAGGTTTTACATGAGCAGTTGGTCTGCAAACACTTTGTTACAGATAAAAAGAGCATCTTCCACTTTTCTCTATTTTTCCCTGAGCTTTAATTGTTAAAGGACAGCAGTGGTAGAGGGAATTGATAACTTTTGTGTCTGACCTACCTGGGTTTGAATTTCTTTTCAACCATCTAATTGTCCTTGGCAAGTTACATCATGGCCCTCAGTCTCAGTATCACCTCTAATTTTGGAAAAACTGTGTCTACTTTGCATAGTTATGAGATAATTAAATAATATGTATAAAACATACAACTCAAAATGTAGTACCTGTTCAGGATAATTTGATTATTTTTCACCCCTCTCTTTGGAAAATATCCTTCTGCCTTTGATTATCTGCTGTTTTCATGGTATAATTTGCTCAACATATTACACAAATCCCATTAGAATTTGACTTTGTATTTTTTGTTGTAGTGTCACTAAGA